TGAGGGGGGGCAGTGTATTCAACACAGCTCGGCTTTTTGGTTTTGCCGAGGGGTACGTTTATCCTTTGGGGGACAGGAGGGGGTGGTGCACGGACTTGTCTGACTGGCAAACATGCACTAGGAAGCCTGGGTCTGGGGGGAGGGGGACGGGGACGGAGAGGGCGAGTGACTGGGGGAGGTCCATTTGTGTTTGGGCGGTCCGTATCCCCCGGCCCTCCTGCCCCCTGCCCCCTGGGAGGGCATGGAGGTTTGGGCTGGGATTCGGTTGGGGGTATGATGAGCCCATTCAAGGTGCTCTCATACGGATTTTCTTCAACATACTCGTAAATATCATCATCAGCAATCAGAGGCATGGGCAGGTCACTGACACAAGCGTCCTGTCTCTGGATTGGTCCATTTCGCCTTTGAGTAGGATCCATCACATTTTAAAGGAAGTTGTCCAAGTCTTCCCGTTTCACACTCTCAGCACGTCATCACTTCATATCACAGCAGACTGCAGAACTCTGTGGGATTAACAGTGATGTTAAGTCACTCAGTTAATTTACTCAAGTACTGCATTTAAGCATAATGTTGAGGGAGTTGTACTTCTACCCAACTACAATTCTGTAGTGGGATGAAATGTAATCAACAATAAGACTTTAGTTACACTTGGAGTAAAATTCACAAACTACCCTGCAGCATACAAAGTAATTACAATTAGCTCTACCTTTACCAGCTTTGATAACACTCTAATGCATCAATAACTATGATCAAAACACAAGATATATACTGTCCTGAAATGGGTCAATCTGATTAATGAGTACTTTTACTTTTGGTATATCTTGATGTTAGTACTTTTACTTAAGCAAGTTTTTGGATGCAGGACATTTAATTGTAAAAGAGTATTCCAACTATCTGGTTTGTACTTTTACTTAAGTACACAAGCTGAGCACTAAAACCAGAATTAATACCAGCAGTGTATGAGAATAAATGTAGGCATGACAACCCGTTTTATGACTAGAGTCTAAGCTGCAGGTTCACTATGGACTAATAATTAACAAGCTTTCAAATCTTAAAAGGAAATCCACCGGCGCGCGCCACTATGATAAAGTTGTGTACAAGTATAGCTTACAAAGTCTTCAATACCACCATTATCATAACATGAGTTACCTGACTGTCTATTCTGTCATGGTATTCATTAAAGCAATATACTGTTTACATTGAATAGTCCTCATATATTAACAGCACGTTTACCATCTACATTAGCTACAAATAAATATAACTCAATCTTAACTCATTATTTCATTCAATGTTTCCAACTTACCATCAAAGCTCTGATAACGGTGTCCTGTTTACTCATCGTGTATCGACCGGAGTGAAAGTGTGTATGGAGCAACTCTCAGCTAGTTAGACCTGTCCAACATTATGGTTTCCAATCTGGCTTTCCTCGCCCCTCCCACAGTGTCCCTCCCCTCCTCCCCTCCTCCCCCCTCCTGCAGCCCAAAACAAATGTCCCTCTGCTGGAGGAAAGAGAACAGTACACTGATAGTGAGATAATCAAAACAACAAATCCAGATACATTTCCAGTTTTCTTCTTTTTTAGAATGTTCACCCTTTTTATGCAATAACCAAAATATTGCAGTGTGCAGTAATGAAATATTCCTAACATAAATGTGATATTGATTAAAAAAAAAAGGGAGTAAAACACATCTATTCAGATCAACGAAACCAACATACTGTACTGTATCACATCCACTCCTCTCTCAGGAATGTCATTGAGCAGGTTGAGGTATGTCAGCACTGTGTTTCTTATTTGAAGGGAAATGAAAGAAGCCAGAAGGACATGTACGTTCGAGCACTCATATGACACTTTTTTGTTGTTGAGTATTGTTTTGGACGTTATAGAAGGCATCCTGTGTACTATCAACTTCCTAGTCAGGTCATTTGAAACAGTTAAAGTAGATTTTTGGATTATAAATCTCTTAGTTTGACTATAGCAATATTTACGAGGATTTAGAAAGCCCAACATGGCATTTTAGTGGGAATGACAGCAACGGCACTCCACTGAATGTGTCACTACGGTGTCAGCTGAGGTGACCGGCGCAGAGGAGTGTAGGGGCGGCGGGTATTGTAGGTTAGGGAAGGCTAAGCCTTCCCAAATATTTTTGTAACTCCATGGTAAAAGAAAAATATAATGTATAATGTGTGTGTCTTTGACATTAGCGCTGCTATGCAGCCACCTGTGCCCTGTACTACGAAGCCAGTTTAACATACCCTGGATACGTTTGAGTTATGATATCTTAACTAACCCTAACAAACGCGCTCTCGCTAAGCGGTCCTACGACGCTGGTTATCAACTCGGTAAATCAAGCCAGGGTTTTTCTCTCCAGCTGAGAGCGTGTTCACGTGAAAGGGGCGGGGTTAGCAACATTTGACCAATCACAAACAGGGACAAGTGTAGCCAAGCGCAGCGTCATACTTCATTAATGAAAAGTAAACTAATATTAGACAAATATGAACTTTAAACATCCATGACTTAAACATATAATCTAGGATACAAGCCACATAGTTGCACCTGCAAGGTGAATACAACTGGTGAAAGAAAAAGTGTCTGAATGCATACATTAACAATTGGGTCATTCTACAGAAAAGGTGGAATCTGGGTGATACAAATCTGCTGAATATATTCCTTCTAAAAACATCTAAAACCTGTTAAATAGCAATAACTAACTCTTAACTTGATTAATCCACAACAAGTAGAGCTTAAAATATTTTGTTATTTTTATTATTTGTATACTTTATACAAAGCTTATTTGAATGTCACTGGTGTTACGTGTTACCAGGAAGAAGAGTACCAGTGACGGTAACACCAGTGACAATTTGGAGAAAACACTACCATTTTAACAAAATGGCTGCAATGTGTCAGACCAAATATGGCTTCAGTCAATATCAAAATCGTTGAACTCTTCAATACAATACATTTTCCCATTAAAATGTTCACCCCTAGGGCTATGCAATGAGTAACACTAATGACAGACTTGAAAGACGCATGTAACATTTGAAGATAAAATGACACCTTTAACAAACAAAGTAAGACGTATCTGACTTTCCTGTTGTCTTTGTCCACTGCACTGCCTCAAATCATCTGTTACAGGAGGCACTTCAGAGACAGTACATTATTTCAAAAATAAAAGCGTTTTGTGTAGCAGTAACACCAATGACGTAATTTTGGGTGACTGACATTTATTTGATATTATTAATAATAATTTAATTTCAGTGTTATATGTAATGCTTGTAATGTTATGTAAATAGAAATTAGATTTATTTATTGAACAAAAAATATTTTAAATTAAAATTATAGGCTCCACTTCCATGTATGATCAAAGTGACAAGGCAGTTCCTTGAACTTGACATTTTAAATAAATTGCAATTTACGTATAAAACCATTTTTTATTTTTTTTATTTAGTATCATTGCAAAGACAATCTCTATTTATTCAACATATATAATGAATGTGAGTATTAGGTCAACGTCATGTATTTTGGTGTTTGCAAAAGTAAGTGACAGCACTTCCACCTTTTCTGTAGAATGACCCAATTATGATATCACTGCCCCGTCAAAAACACGAGTGGATCTGACTTTAATTACATTTGATTTGAATATTTCGTCAAACTTAATGTGTTGCTTAAAATAATACTTCTGCATACAGTAGGCCTATGTGACACTGTAAGTGTTGCACGGCCATATACGGCTCGGCTGACTCAGGGAATGAAATATATGATATATTAGGATATTATATGATCGATGATCTGATTGATAATGTGATATGAATGATAAGTGTGACACGTCGGCGTCTTCTCTTCATACGGCAGTTTAAACTGTATTTCCTTTATACTTTATACACACTGAGCTCTTATCAGGCGGTGCCCGTGCTTTTACTGAGTTTATCTCTTTTCTATAGACGCCGGAGGCGGGCAGCGTCAGGTAAAACAAGTTATTTAGCCTTCCCAAACCTGAGCCTCACGCGCCGCCTATGAGTGTACTGTGGAGAAGAGATCGCAAGAGATGCATTTCAACCACACAACTCCCCACATTTCACCCACCAAAAACACCAAACCTGGATTTCCTGGTTACTATGCCCTCATCCCCATACTGCTCATACTGTTTGGATGTGCGGTGGCAATGGTAAGAACACATTTTCATATCAAAGCACACATGGCTGAATGATAAGTATTTTTAACCTTTTTTGTTATGCGTCTCTTTATAGGTTTATTATTTCAGAAGAAAGTCAAGGTAAGTGGGTTTCTATGTTTTAAGCATCACTTTTAAACTAATTTGGTATATTCTATGTTGTGCTAACATTTATTTTGTATACTTTTATACAGATTAGATAATCTACGTCATATGCTGATTCCTCTGTACACCTACGACCCCGCAGAGGAGCAGGGGGACGACCCTGACAGGGAGGAGGACGAGGAGCAGGCTGTGAGCAAACCTTTAAACTTTATAAACCACTTAAAATAAATAAATACATTTGACATCATATCCATGCAGCTGGTACTGAGAATTTCTATTTATTCAGATTTGTTCCTTATTTTCAGGAACCTTTATACAAGAAGGGGAAGCTGTACTTTTCATCTGAATATGGATTATGAACTGAAAATCAAGAAAGTAAAAAACATGTGGCCATTTGGACAGATGATTTACAAATACAGACATGGCGGCTTCATGAACTTTGAAATTCATCAGCCACTAGCACCATATCGAATAATTTAACAACAACATGTTCATTGCAGAGCTGCAGACAACGGTTGCCACTGTGATCCTTTTTTTGTGTGTGTTTTCTTTTAGAGAATGTAAGTGTTTAAGGATTAAGCAAGAAGCTATTGTTGAGCAATAAACTAAGACCAAATCAAAAAAAGCTTTTGTTTTGTTTGTGTAATTCAAAGAAATGTTGATGGGTTATGCTTAAAGAGCTTCAAAGACACACACCTGTCTCTGCTTGGCAATCAGAGTGGGTGCTGCTGTTTGGAGGTTCTGGTTGACTCTTGACATCTTCACATGTTATGGAGGGTTTTACAAACAGGAAGATGGGATCACAAACAAAGAGACGGTAATAATTTAAGTACATCACAAAATCCAAACTGAAATATGTGATTATTAAATGAAAGAATGTTTCCTGTCTGTATCCTTGTTACATTAGTCCTGATCTGTTGGGGCCACGCTGGATCCTGTCCTCCATCCTGATGGCTGCAGCTCTGTTCCTCCCCTCTCTGAGTCTGGACAGCCTGCTGTGTAACTTCTGTCCTCTGCAGCACAAAGGCACGTCCTGCCCTGATATCAGCAGCCAGTGTCTGCCTGACCAGCGCTGCTCCAGCTCCAGAGGACACTTCGGCTCCCTCCACGTCCTCTCTGCTCAGGGCTGCGTGGACGCTGAACTCTGTGGCTCCCATGAGAAGGCCTCTTTTCGAGGGGTCAAGTACAACGTCAGCCACACCTGCTGCTGCAGAGACAAATGTAACGGCCATCCACACTCTAACACCAACCTGAAGAAGCTATTGGGGATGCTAGCCGACAAACTACATTACCCTAACATCACTGTTCTTAGAGAGGAGCGTTGGGATTCATGTGTAAATTACACATCTTCAAATACGTTACTTACCAATGCATTATAGAAGTGTTTGTATAAGGCTGGGGAGAGGCCTGTTAGCCATAGGCACTTACCTGAGCCTTCAAATAGACATTAGCATTTCAACAGATGTTTGTGATTATCAGTATTTTAGCTAAATTACTGTTAAAATGCTTCATTGTCAGTGTTTCATGTACATTTTTGCTCCAGAGAGAAAAGGGTGGACAGCTATCCTCCTGGTATTTTATAAACACTATTGATGTGGAAACTTATGAGTTCAGCAAAATAAAAGCACCTTGATTAAACTTCCCACTTGGTTTAGTTCCTTCGAGTTGATTTTACCAGCAGGTGTGCAGGGAGGTGTGGCCTCTGCATGCAGATCTCAGTGGTGAGACAAGAGTTCATCAGGAGGAGCTCTGAGAGGTTTTGACTGGAATTACAATCTTAACAAATGTAAGTCTTTATAATGCTTTTTATATTTGAATTTGCACACTGAAAAAACGTCTGACATCACTTTCTGCCTTTAGCACTTTAAAACTGGCAATCAGTAGATTCTGCTGAGTAGAGATTACCGGCACCTGTGTATAAGAAGGAAGGCTTGAATTAACTTTTCAACTGGTTTATTCTGAACTTGGCTTGAGACAAGAAATGGAAGGATAACAAGTGATTGTAACTTAACTTTTTTTGTACTATGTACAAGTCTACGTATTAGTCTAGTGGAGTTTTACAGAGGCAAGAGTATAGTACAAAAACAATTGTCTCGTGTCTGTTGGCCTCTGAAGAAATGTTGTCAAGTGTGATTTATACAGATTGGTCTTGGCTCTGAAACCACACATTTAACAAAGTGTGCCAACTAGGCAACTGGCCTATGAAAAAGTAATTTACAAGGAAAAAATACTTAATACATTGCATTTTGTGAAATGTAGGATTCAGTGCATTTGGAACTTGATGCATTCTGCATTATAAACCTCTCACAAATGTGTAACATTATGGAAGTGCAAACTGCAGATGTCTTGTTTTATGATTTATTTAATCTATAGAATACAAGGTCATGAGGTCAGTAAAGTACTCAATGCCTCTCTTTACCGTTGCAGGTGGAACATGTCCCAGCTCCTGCAGGCTGCTGCTCTGTGGATCTACCTGCTCCTGCCCTCGCTGCTCTGTGCAAACATGCGCTGCTACTACAGCCCCATCCTGGAGAAGGGGGATAAATTTGATCTCATCGTGTCAGAGTGCCGTCCTGATGAGATGTGCTTTAAGGCAGAAGGTCGCTATGGAAACTACAGCGCCCTGTCTGCCAGGGGCTGCATGGCAAAGAAGGGCTGCAGCCGGGTGCACAAGATCCGCATCAGAGGAACCATCTACACCATGAGCTATGGCTGCTGCGATTCACCGTATTGCAACTCCTGCCCAGGGGTCTTCGCCAAACCCCTCGTCATCACACTTACACTATTGACTGTAGCTGTGGTGGCCGGCATCTTGTGAAGACACCACATGTGCTATGTGATGGGTAATTTTAAGGAGGGGGGGGAATGTTTTTGTGGTTCAGTGCCCAGAGGCATTTCTGCAGCCTCTGCATGGAGTAATGCAGAGGCTGTGGTCAACGCCCAGAAGACACTGAGGTGTGCACCATAGTGATGCCAGAGATTTTAACATTTTATTTTGAATATCATGGTGACCAAAAACTGTTTTCATAATGTTTTAATGTCCTTTAAATAAATATTTGAATATGAAATCATATTTTGTTGTTGTTGTAAATGTTTCAAACTCCATTTTTTCACACAACACACACACAGACATGGGATGGCGATATATTTTGATTGTCCTATTGTCAACAAAGTGTTTCCATATTCTGATGCACACTGGAAAAAATAAATATATATACATCTCTGTTCTATAGCATTTAATTGTTTTCCAAAACTATTAAAAGCAATACTATAAGACACTATTTTCTACTGATGTCCTTCCATTTTTATGAACATGGGAACTGTTGCTCATTTCGAGATGACCCCACATACACCATCCCGCTGCTGAAAAATACTTACTAAATTTGCGGCAGAAAATAGTCGCCAACTAATGCAGTGAAATTATGGTAGGATGGGAATAGGTCACAGTAGAGGGGGTTGGAAGGTATTATGTGACTGACTCATTGAGATTAGTTGACAATAAGAAAAGTATGAAGAAATGGCAGGTTTATCTTTTAGTAGACAAAGACAACAGCTCAAACAACGTGTACAGCTGAGGTTTGGACAGTTCTTTATTTCCCTTTTATAAGGCTGCTGGGTCTCCCCATAGTGGATATACATATATATACAGGAGATTGCTATACTGGAGTTACACTGAGGGCAGAGGGTCCATATTACACAGACTTCAAAAAACAACACTAAATAGAGCCTCACCTCCAGGTACCAGAAATCAGCAGAGAGAGATAGAAAGAGAGAGGGAAGGGGGGAAACAGCACGAGAAGAGGGGAGAGAAAGAAGAGGGGAGATGATGCAGTCTGAGAGCGTGAATCGACTGCCTAATAACTTAACACTAGAAAATAACATACAGATTTCACGCACAGTGCATCTTAAATAGGTTACGTGAAGAACCATTTACCATAAATATCTGTATTTTCCGGAATCAACATATATAAAAAATGATTTAAAAAAAAAACAAACACAAATCAATGTTCAGCCTTTACATGTACTTTTTCTTATTTTCTCCTTTTTCCCGTCGTGCAAATCGTTCTTTTAGTTCCTTCTTCCAGTGGAGGCCGGGCTTTTTCCCCACCCTGCCCACGTCCATTTCAGATAAATGAGGAAAAGGAAACTGAACCCAGCACCCCCCTCCCGCCCTTAAAAGCATATGAATTAGTAGAAAACGAACAAACAAATGAACAGAACACCACAGTCAACTCATCACAAAAAGAACCCACAGACACACAGAACAGCAAGAACACAGTACACTTTTTTTTTTCTTTTTTGAGCTTCTTCATCAGCATCATTCCTTTTTAATGGTCAGTATCATAGTTGTGGTCTTTCTCCTGGCGTACTGGTTGGACAGCTCAGTGGAACTGGGAGGCAACTCTCCAATCGGATGGTCAGTTCAGCAGTGATATATTATCTCTCAATTTCACAGTGTGGTAGGAAAGCGGGGAGGAGGAGAGGGATCGGAGAGTGACGGGGAGGTAAGCCAGAGGGAGGGTAATCGAGGTGGGAACAGGAATCAAAGGAACCACAGCAACAATTAAAAAACAACTAGAAACCCCGACTGTCCAAGAAAACAAGTAAACAAAATGGCCGCTTCACTCCTTTCTTCCGAGTTTCATTCCCGCCGACCTGTGTGGTTGGGAAGGCCTTGATTGGCTGGCGTAAGCTGATTGAATGGCCTGTGTTTGTGGCAGAAGGTAGGGAGAGATGGGTGAGGGAAGTCAAAGGCTGACCATCGGTAGGTGGGACTCGGCAGGACGAGATGTTGTCAGGAGCAAAAGGATGGGCGTGGGCGGTCAATGTGTGATTGGCAGGTCAGAGGGCGAGTCCCGTCTCGGTGGGTTCAGGCACGCTGGTGCAGTGCCCGCCTCTTGCGGCTGTAGTAGTGACGCGCGCCGGTCTGTCTGGCAAAGTTCATCATGTAGTTTTGTTTACGGGTGCTGCAGGGATACAAAAACAGTGAAAGAGGGGGGGGAAGAGGAGGGGTGTGAACATTAGTGACCGCGTAAAGGGCAATTTAAATCCAAACATTCCCATGCACACACTCTCATCCATGCACGCAACACACAAATGGTTGATGCAGCTTTCGTACTCACTCGCGTCCATGCTGGCATTTTTTTATAATTTTAGCCATAACCTCAAACACTCAACACCTGTATGGTTCTCGGAGAATGGGTGGCACTACTCTACACAACTGGATTTGTTTATGTTTTGCACATATGAGACGCAGCTAGATGGCGAACATGGTGGTAGAACTACATGTATCTAATACCAAATATCACAGGACAAGACATGGGACACAGAGTCTACAAACATACTACCACAGAGGCTAAGGAGGAACTCTGACACTGAGTGTTTGAGGTCAGAGTTAACAGCCGTCACTGGGAGAAAAGAACAATTAAGTAAAGCAAGGCCATAAAAGTGCAGGGTTGTGAGCAGAGGAGGGGTGGTTTGGAAACTCTAAGAGACACAGAGAGAAGCTGCAGGAGATCGCTCTTGCTTAGCCTGTTCATTGCCTCTTCCATCCAGCAGGGCGGTGCCAGTGAGCCAGGAGAGCAGCCAGGGCAGGCAGGGGCCTCTGCGAAGCGGGGGGGTCAGGAGGGGTCGGGGAGGATACTGGGTGATGTGTGTGTGTAAGATGGTTGATGCTGTGGAGGTGAATAGGAAGGATGCTTGTGTTTGAGAGAGTGTGTGTGCACTGGGAGGGAGCTCCTGGCTCAGTCATGTTGTTGTTGTCCACAGACAGACAGACAGACAGACAGACAGCCATGAGTGAAGAAAAATGATATATGTCTATTCGTGGAGAAATGCAAGGGGCTGGATGGAGGTTAGTAAGATGAAACTCTCCCGCTATATGGGCTTTGACTTGTTATTAATGAAGAATGATGCCCTGCATGGCAACAAAAGGACTGCTTGGGCTGGAGTGTGATGAATGTTGGACCTACAACAACAGCACTCTTTTGGAGAAAGTCATTGAGTCGTGTGTTTTGGCTCATACATTTGCAACTGGGTCAAAAACACTAAAACAGTTTGCAACAACACAAACAGATATAGGTATAGTGATGGATTACATCACACATATACACACAAACACAGTACTGTTGACATTTGTACAATACTACATAAAAAATGCCTTGAGGGATTTTGTAACATTCAAAATCTACGCCATTATAAGGGTTTATTTTTCATCTGGAGATGTGTTGAATCCTTTTAAAGGATGGAATGTCATTTTTAAATTGTAAAATAAAAACAAACGCCATCACTTTTTGTGATTATTAGGGATGTAACAATACCAAAAACTCACGGTATGATAATATCGCGATAAAAAGTCCACGGTAATATATTAGGATAGTAGTATTTTAAAGTGTCAAAAATATAATAATCAGACCCTGCAATAGAATAAATCAAGTTTCACTTTAGTTTTTCAAGTAACTCAACTCTAACTCACTCACTCAGCATCATCAAGGTTATCTTTTAGGAATATGAGCATGTCCACATTTCCAGGTAGAAGCTGGGATGTTTTGGCGTTTACAATATCCCCATGTTGCTGTGGAAAAAACTCTCTTGCTTGGTACTGATGTTGCTGGGACAGAGAGATATGCTTTGGCCATGGGTGCCAGCAGTGGGTCAAACTGTGCATTGTCTCTCCACCACTTCAAAAACAATACAGTTTTTGCCAAGAAGGTGAGGCTTATTGACAGGGCGAGATATAAATATACTGTTGGTACTTGTCAATGTCTCTAGGTATGTACATGTAGCCCTGTAAATACGATGTCCTTTTGTGTTATCTGTTGTTTTATGTTCATGTTGTAACCTACTTGCTGCCATGTTGGACAGGTGTCCCTTGAAAAAGAGATCGATGATCTCAATGGGACCATCTGGTTAAATAAAGGTTTAAAAAAAATATATATAAAAAAAGAAAGAAAAGAAAATTATTTTTAAAAAATCACGGTAGATTTTGTCAGTCTCACAACGGTATTGAGACATTTATTTACCGCGATATTCGATACATCGTTACATCCCTAGTAATTATTGTATCTCTTTTAATCTGTGTGTTGGTTCATTTTGATGGTGAGCATCCACCTGCTAGTTGACCTTCCTTGTCTTTGAGTTAAAGTGAGGGCATGAAGATGGCTGGTGGTGATGAGGAGGAGGGCTGGGTGTGTCAGTGAAAGGGTGCGAGTGTGCACAGTGTATTGGGGAGAAGAATCGGGTTGGGAGGGGGGTGAGGGAGGGGGCTGCAATCAGGAAGTGGCGGATAACTTACCTCACACTACAGCCATGCCAGAGGGAGCAGAATATAGAAGAGAGCAGAGGTTAGAGTGCGAGAGGGGAGAAGCAGGAGGAGGGGACTGCTGTCTCGCAGAAAGGTCTGGGGGGGTAGGAGCCCCAGCCTGGGGAGGCAGGGGCCCGAAAGCATGGAGAAGGGAGGAGAGAGAAGAGCCATAAAGATAGTCAGAGGTTCAAGAGAGAAGAAGAGGGAGTGGGTGGGAAATAATGCAAAGCAGAAGAGTAGATGGCAGAGTGAGGAGACAGCAGGACATACCACAAATAAAGTGAAAGCGAGACATAATCAAAGGTAGAAGAGAAGATAGAGAGCAAGATATACAGCAGTAATCCATCCGTTGTATTCCAGAGTGGGGAGATGAAAAGGGGAAAAGGGAAAGAGCGAGTTTTGAGAAAGGAAAGGAGAAATCGGAGGAGGAAGTAAGGTAGGGTACGGTGCAGCACAAGCAGAGGAGGGAGCAGGACCATCAAACACGTCAGTACATTAAGCAGCAGAGAGGAGAAGCGTGTGGAGCAAAGGAAAAGATTGAGCAGGAGTAGGAGTGAGAGGGAAATATGTGAAGGAGTGGAGGAGTGGTAAACAGAGAGAAATAAACAACAGAGCAAAGTGTGAGGATCACAGTCACTCTTTTCAGCAGACACTGTTGAAACCGTGCGAGTGCGAGGAAGGAGGTGGGACAGGTCGCGA